ATTAGAATCAGATCATATCAATTTAGAAAAATCTTTTAGTATAACTATAATCAGATTATACCAGACCAAATCAGATTAAATATATCTTTAAATATAACTACAATCAGATCAAACTTTATTCCAATCATATCATGTAAAGAGAACAAGTCCTAATTTTGAATCGTTTTAATAAAAGGTGATTAAAATAATTAGTGAGTTTTCATATTTAGTCCTCAATTTTAAGATATTAGTCTTTCGTTTTTATAAATTGTTCCGTGATTAGTCTTTTAGGTCACACGGTAAAGTTTTGGTACAGTTCCGGTTCTGGAACCACCGGTTCTATTATCGCCACCATATGTGATCGTTATCTATTACCGCCACCATATGTTCAATTTTTTATATGATTGAGTCAATTGAAATGTAAAACAAATTTACAAGTTTTCATAAATTCTAACTTTTAATAACGTAGTTGTTAGGCCACTCAAAATGAGTGGCCATTGAACCTAGCCGATTTACGGACCGGTTCCATGGACACTGCTTTTAGTGGCCAAGGAAGTCACTGCTCTGAATCGAATACTTACAGTTCTCTGTTCGTAAAATTGATGCTTCCTACCCCCTCCTCCGGTAAACCCTCCGCTCAGTCCCGACTCCAACCCATCCTTCCACCCATATATGTCAATTACACCCCGCAAGTTTAGTTGACTTTAAAGTAAAAAATTTTGACTTTAAAGTCAACTAAACTTGTGGGGTGCAATTGTCATGGTGGGGAATAGGTTAGGGTCAGAACTCGGTGATGAGGTTTACCAAGATGGTTAGGGGGTAGTAATCATCAATTTTACGAATGGAGCATTGAAGAGTGGCAATGACTTTCGTGGCCACTCAAAATGAGTGGCCATTGAACATAGCCGATTTAAATAATGAAAATTGAAGTATATCCATTAATCATTAATTTGTGTTGTCATGCCATTATAAATTATATAAACTCTCTATAAAAATAGACAACAACTTTAGTTTAAGTGATAAATACGGAGTAAAAGATTTGTACATTAAATTAGTTGTACTTATATTTGAAATATATTTTTTCTTAAAAAGACATCAACCAATGAGCTATTAAGTTTGACTGAATTTGAGTTTAATTCATTTTGAACTTGATCAATATTGGGTCTAATCGATTTTGGATTTAATCGATTCGGGACAAACTGGTTTGGTTCAATCAGATCCAGATCTAAATCAAGTCTAAATACATTCAGCTCAGTTTTGGTTCGGTTTAGATCATTTCGAGTGTTCGGGTGTAATTTGATTCTTCAATTTTTGGGTCATTTGAGATTCGGTTCGGGTTATCAGACCCAGGTCTATTTTTCTAGGCCTACATAAGACGTAAAATCCTCCATGGACTCTTGCTTAACGTGTTCTAAGGGGGTCAAGCTAAACCATTTCATTTTTCATGTGCACTATCTATGTTTGTTCTCAAGTTCTATTCACTTGCTGTATTCAACCTCCTCTCTTCCTATATCCAGTACTCATCCACCAGCACTGTAAATGAAAAAGGTAAAATCAAGCCTGCTACCACATAAAGAACCAAACAGTTTCATCTTTGAGTCCAACGCGACCTTTTCCAATAAATACCGGGACAGGAGGGGCGGGAAAGGCTTTCCATGAACACTAATACACTCTATGGTCAATAGATCAGCGTTTTGGCATTACCCTTACAGTAGCATGTGCCTTGCAAAGTAGCACCAATTGCCTTCAAGGCTCAATCAGGATGTCCCATAGGCCATTCATTCCCAACAAATCACTTCCAAACAAATTGTACATTACAACACTAACATAAAATAATTTTCACCAGATCTATAAATAATGATTATAGCCATTGATGTATATATAGTGAGTATTTCTCTATACTTAGAAGTTGGTCAAAACTACTTGCATGTTTTTTTAATTTATAAATCAGTTAGATGACTTGTTAGCTATTAAGCTTATATGGAGTAACTTATAAGTAAAAAAAATAAAGAGCTCTTATCTACTTATTTTAAGCTCGATTTTATTTCTCCGTTTTGACCAAATTATTTACAAAACAATCCCTAACCTTATCTCACCTCTCTTTGTATTAGTAATGGAGTATGTGACAAGAACATTCCATTATTATGCCAATCAACATGGGTTTTGATACTATCCTATATAGTAATGGAGTATCTAACAAAACATTCCATTACTACATAGGATGGTATCTCAATCCCTGCTGAGTGGCATAATAATGGAATGTTCTTGACCAAATTATTTACAAAACAATCCCTAACCTTATCTCACCTCTTTGTATTAGTAATGGAGTATCTCACAAGAAGATTCCATTATTATGCCACTCAGCAAGGTTTAGATACCATCCTCTTCTTTGCTTTGAATTAGAGCTGATTTATCTGATATTCACATATGACCTAAATGTAGTTAGCAAAGGGTGTCAAAAATCAGTGAAAATGTGAAATGCATCATGAAGGCTCTCAATCACTTTCAACAGACTACCAGACTTCAAATTAACCAGGATAAATCTCAAGCGGTCTTTGTAGGAGGAACATATGAAATGCAGATCCTACAAATCATTGGGATGACTTAAGGTACTTTGCCTTTAACTTAACAGGGAGGACCTATTACTTCCTCTAGACTCAATGTTAAAGACTTTGATGCATTAGTAGACAAGATCACTAAAATACTCTGATGGACATCATAACTTTTTTGGTCCAGAATATTTGTCATGCCTAGTACAAGTTTTGAAGAAAATTCAAGCCTTATGTAGAAACTATCTTTGGGGAGGTTCCTCTGAGTATAAAAAGATTCCTCTGGTGCAGTGGGAAGAGGTCAGTACCCCAAAGAAAAATAGGGGTCTCGGGTTGAAAAATATAGTCCAATGGAATAAGGCAAACATAATAAAACTAAACTAGGATATTGCTGATAAAAGGATGTCCTTTGGGTAGAATGGATTCATAGTAGTTACATCAAAAATTCATCCTTTGGGGATTATATACCTAAAAATGATTGTTGCTTTTAATAGACGAAGATAATAAAGTTTAGGGAAATCTTTAGTAACAAGCCATGAAATTAGCCTTATACTGTCAACAAAGGATATGAGTGGAGAGAGGGCCATAGAGACATCCTATTTGGGTGATTTGGGTTTGGAACAGATACTCCCTCCCCAAGCACCAATTCATACTATGGTTAATACTTAGGGAGAGACTACTTACAAGATGCAGGTTGAAAAAATTTATAAATATTGATACTAGATGGGGGCTTTGTAATCAAAAGGAAGAAAATTTTAACCATCTTTTTTGGAATTGCCCCATAGCCAACAGAATGCATCAAAAGATTTTTGCTTGGCTTCACTATAAGATTGATGCTAATGACATTGAAGGAGTTGAAAAGGGGCTTATGAATGTGAAACCTAGAAAGAAGAGATGGATGGCATTTGCTGGATGGGCAGCCAGCTGCTATTTCATTTGGAGGATGAGAAATGGGAAACTACACCAGAAATTTTACACGGAAGAGGCAACAATTGAAGAGATTAAAAATCATCTTAAAGTTTATAATCAACATTGAAAGAACAGTATAATCAACATGCAAGCTCTATCCCTCACATTCTATCCTCTTGCCATATGCTCGATTTGCATATATCCCCTACGCCCTACCTATTCATGCTTCTCTCTTATCCTATACTCCCCCTCGGTTCCTATATAAACTTCATAATATGACTTCATGAGTTTAAGAAAAGTGTTAAAAAGTAAAAAGTGCGTGATTTAAAATTTGTTTAGAAGAAAGAGAAAACATTTGAGCCACATGTTCAATTATTTAAAAGAAAATGGAGAAATGTAAAGTTTATTGTGAGAACGGCAAAAAAAAGAAAGTGTAAAGTTTATTTTAGAACAGGTGTATATTCTTCCTTGATCACTTGAAATGAATAAGTAAAAAGCCTGCCACATAAAGAGTGAAGCACTTTCATCCTCCAGCCTTTTCCTGCAAATTCTAAGGACAAGAAAAATGGAGAAGCAGGGAAAGGGCATATTTTCATGAACATTTTGGTTAATAGATCGGGATTTTACCACTTCGACACTCCCTTACAGCAGCCTGTGCCTTGAAAATTTCACCAATTGTCTTCAAAACTCAATCTAGAAGTATCAGAGACCACTCACAAGTAATCACAACGAATAACTGATCATTTCCTAATAAATTGTAGACTACAACACTAATAAAA